GATGTACTATCTTTAGTCTAGAGGCAGTATAACACCAATCGTGGTCCGCATTTGCAAAATATTAGTGCGTTTTGAAACCTATAAAAAAGAAAGTGTCGCAACCTTTTAGTGAGCGAGTGTACATATCATACGTATAGTGTGAGCAACCTTAATTGCAATCGGTTGGTCAGCCGTCAGTCGGTACATATTATATATACTCGCATGGTACAGCCAAAATTTAGTTGTTCTTCAATTACCTCCGGATCCACCGCGAACGCGGCTGCTGCTGCAGTTACTTATAGAATTTAACCACGGCCGATCACCGTTTTTAATGATATACCTCGTGTGTCGGTGATATCGTCGAATTGGACACGTGAAATAGTTACGGTCCTACAACTGCAATGCTATAGGTCAGGCTAGTCAGGTATGTAGTATGTGTAGAATCACGTGGAATGTAAGAATCAGACCATTTCAGTTTAAGGTTATATACTGTAACTGTAAGTTCATTGTTAATAAATAACAGTTGTATTTTGGCGATTCGCGTTATATTTCGCGCGACTCGTATTCAACGAAAAGATGTGTAATATCAATTAAAATATCCATCAGCGACACAAAAGACATAATTATATGACGAGATAGCTGCCATGGATGACGAGTGTCAAGGTTGGTCGAATGTTAAATATGAAATTGTTACGTTCCCCATTCTCTTTACTTTTGCACATTATTAAACTCAATATCACGTACTTTTAATTAAATATAGACAGAGAAGTGTTAATTAATTAATTTTATCAATCTCGAGAGATTGATCTTGCCTGTGGAATCGGCATCAAGTGCAGACGCATACTTACTGCACTTTCTAGCGGCTTGTGACAAAGAATTGCTTACAATTATTAGTTTAATTACTAGTCCCAACTAAGTATTAATATTACATGAAAACTTGATCTCCCGAAAATTTCAGCTACGGAGAACGATGAGATAGCTGCCATTGATTACGAGTTACAACAAATAGAGAATGAGCTACAAAAATTGCAAGATCGTAAAAAATTATTGACGCAACGCAAAGAGAAATTGCGCGACGACGTTCTTTTAAAAAAAAGTTTTTCTCTATCTAAGAGAAATTGGGACAATGAAGATTTCGCTTGGTCCGCAAAACTTGCGGAAACGTTAAAGGATGTGTTCAAGATAGAGAAGCTACGAGAGTTACAGTTATCGACTATGAATGCAGTCATGTCCAAGGAAGATGTCATATTGATTATGCCTACGGGCGGTGGTAAGAGTTTATGTTATCAATTGCCGGCTGTAATCAGTAAAGGTGTAACAGTGGTAGTTTCACCATTAGTATCCTTAATGGAGGATCAGTTGCATGGATTGCGTAAACTCGATATAAAGGCTAACATGCTGTGCTCAAAGGCCACAAAGGAGAGCGTCAAGATTATTATGTCGGCTCTTGTGGATAAAAACTCTCCTCTCAAACTGATTTACGTAACGCCGGAATATATGGCAAAATCCAATCGCTTTATGAATAAACTGCAAAAAGCACATGAGCTGGGGCATCTAGAACGGTTTGCGATCGACGAAGTGCATTGTTGCAGTCAATGGGGTCACGATTTCAGACCCGATTATAAATTCTTGGGAGTATTAAAATCCATGTTCCCTGGAATATCGATTCTAGGTCTCACCGCGACGGCTCCAGCTAAAATCATCGTAGACGTGCAGAAAATGCTGGACATTAGTGGTTGCCTAGTTTTACGAGCTTCATTCAATAGGCCCAATTTATATTACGAAGTTCGTCGCAAACCGTCGGACAAGGAAATGTGCCTTGCGATGATAGAAAATCTGTTGAAGAATCGATTTAACGGCAAGTCGGGTATAATTTACACGACTACGATTAAAGATGCAGAACAATTGACGACTGATTTAAGAGGCAGAGGCATCAAAGTTGGATGCTACCACGCAATGCTCGAAGCCAACTACCGATCAGAAGTCTATTCCAAATGGATGTCGGGCAAATATCAAGCGGTAGTGGCGACTATCGCTTTTGGATTAGGCATTGACAAACCGGATGTACGATTCGTGATTCATCATTGTATTTCAAAGTCGATGGAAAATTTTTATCAGGAGAGCGGTCGAGCGGGTAGAGACGGCAAAAAGTCAGTGTGTCTGATGCTCTACAGATTAGCGGATACATTTAAATTGAGTACCATGGTATTTCAAGATAAAGTCGGACTGCACAACTTGTACAAAGTATTGGTGTATTGCTTAGATCAAACATCCTGTAGACGGAGTTTGATAGCAACTCACTTTGAAGAAAATTGGAAGGAAAACGACTGCGCCGAGATGTGTGATTATTGTAGGAAGCCTAGAGTTCAAAAAGAGACTGACGTAGCACATTATTGCAGACAATTGTATCAAATTATGACTAAAGCCGTGCAAAGCGAAACACGATTGACTGCACTGAAACTCATAGATGCTTGGTATGGTAAAGGAGCCTCATCGTTGCGAGTTTCTAACGTGCCCGTGCCAAGCTTTACGAGAGAAACCGCAGAGGCTATTGTAGGGCATTTACTGATAAATGGTTATCTGCAAGAGGACTTTTATTTTTCAGCATATTCTACGATATCGTATCTTAAACGCGGACCTAAATCAGGACTGGCTCTTGACAACAATCACAAGATACTCTTTAACTACGAGCTTTATTAAATTAAATTACTTATAATCAATATTACAGCAGTTGATTTATGTATTATAACAATTTTCTCTCTCTCTCTCTCTCTCTC